ATATGTATTAACCAAAAAAATCCCATCAGAAGGTTTGTTTGATAAACAATCATTACAAAAACAAACATAGACAAAATAGTTGCGGATGTAGTTGACCTACCACGTGTTATTTTTACACCATAAAAGAAATTCCCTTCGTCCCTGCCGCAAAGAATAAGATTCACGCGTGATAGTGTGAATTTTTTTTTTCTAATTAATAATACATTTGTCTTAAAAAAAGTTCACAATTTTACAAGTTTACGGATATAAAAATAGTAGCCTACTGTTTCTCGAGGCTCAATACAATTTTCAAGGCTAGGTTGCGTACACACACACATACACACACACATACACACACACGTCCCCACACGCTAATACACGCACAAACGAACCCATACAGTGGAGGAGACGACAGCCGGCTGCCGCCAACCATGGGGTTTTCCACGCTAATAGAAAGGATTGACCAGCAGCTGCCGTGTAAGCCTTTGTTTACGAACTAACAAACACATTAGGCTGACCGTCATAAGATAAGATATTATCTATGCTGCAAACCCGATCATGCAACGATCTTCCTCGATTTAGTCCGCCATCAGATAAATGTCAAAATCAAATTGGTAATTTGGAAGAAAACCCGGGGATGGATCCCGTCGAGTTCCACGAATAAGCGTTAACTTATTTAGGGAAAGGAGGAGGCACGGTGGAATAATGGATATCGACTCCGATTGAGGAATCGGTCGAATCCATTACATTCACTTACATGCTAATACCCTTCGGGAAGGTATGAATCTTCTTCTTCTCTCCCAAGCTATGGGTAAATAGCAGGACTGACCGGGTTCTATAGCATTGGATGGCAACTAGTCTACCGCAGAAGAGATGGCAAACTGACTGGCTCGTCATTCATGTATCTAAAGATACGTGATCACCTAAGCGTGTATCAGCACATAACTGATTGACTATTTAGGGAAAATTTAAAAAAATAACTTCCTTTAGAGACATTAAGAGCAAGGAACATTTGAAAGTTGCCCTGTATTCCAGAGTGGTATTGAGAATTTTGTCTTCATCTTCTCCTATGTGCTATGTCCCTCCATAATTATATTTTCTTTGTAGCTCGTAATAATTTAAAAAAATATTTCCTAAATCTTGTTCCACCATCGATTTACTCAAGTTCGCTAGGTAAGTTATGCGTTGTTTTGCTCTGTCCCTCTTGTTACAATTTTTCCTGTGAATAACACATTTTCCAAATCTTTTTTCATCATTATGTATCAGACATTTCAACTGTCTCTTCCTGATGTTAAGTATAAGTGTCCTTTTTTTGTTTTCATTTTCTCTAAAATTTCGTCGTTGTTCAGATTTTCGGCTTATGCTATTCTCAGCATCCTTCTGAAGAACTATATTTATGTGGAAATATATACTGTATTTAGCACTCTTTTGTTTGGTTAGGATATGATAAAGAACAATTTATGTATTCCAGTGTATTGGTTAGCATGATAAAATCCATGAGAGACTGGATAGAATTTGTAGCGGTGCTTCGGATGTCACAAATTTTAATAATAACATTCTAAAGGGTATAGTGAGATTGAGACCCGAAAACAAAAATTCACTTAATGCAGGTCAGTGGCTAAAAATGTCTTCGATATGGATTTAGGTCTAAGCGAGGACCATTTTTCAATGTTTACGGAATCACAAATAAAGTACTATACCAGATAATAGAAACCACATCTCTTGAAGACTTTCATTAGTAGCAACAACTAAAAAGGCTATAATATGTAACTCGATGAGAAAATAAAGAAAACGTTGACGTTCCACACTACTTAAAACCAAAGGGGGAGAAGAAAACACCTACTGGACTTGAGCAACCAATTTTCCTGAAAAATTATTTCAATAGCATGATTTTATAAATTTCACCCGACAGTCATTGAATGCTCGGTCAATGAATGGCGAACGTTTCCTTATAAGGAAACGGCTAATTATTTCATTACCATTCTTTACTGCTGTGGTTACTAAATTTGTTTTAATAGACATGAAATAAAAGAATTTTTCAATAATCAATGGTCACTTTAGTTTTAATAGTTTTTTTTTAACGATAATGGATAAGTTTAATATTTGCTGAAATGGCAAAGTTTCAATGTTCCCATGGTTATTACGGGCGTTTTATCAGGTGAGACATAAAAAATAATGAACAAAAATTTTCTTGCACTAGTTGTGATAGATTTTTTTTATTTTAATAAGAAAGATGGTGGCAGTGATAAAAAGTACAATATGATGGCAGTGATATTTGAACAGCAAGGACAACTTCATTTATTAGGGAAATATATATTCGGAACATTTGCCAGTCACAAACCGCCTGTAAGCGAATGGAAAATGAAGTGAGCATGTACACAAAACCAAAAAAAAAAAAAATGAACGTAAGACAAGAATACATCTTCTCGCCGGATTTCTTTAAATTTCATTGCGCTGCGATTCTAATGGAAGTAGAAATCCTATCTGGACTTAATGCTGGTAGGCATAATCTTAAAAATACAAAATGACAATATGTTGATGGGAGAAGCAGAAAAAGAACTGGAATAACTCTTAGATAAGGTAGCAAATGAAAGCTAAACAATCAAGTGTAAGAAAAGGGATAGCCTAAGATGCGAGCTACGAATTGGATATGTTAAGATCAAGCATGAACAGAAATTTTACTATATAGAACAGCGTTTCTCAACCGGGGTTCCCCGGAATCCTAAGGTTCCTCAAATGATCCCCAAGGGTTCCGCGAGAACAGGTGAGATAAGCTAATATACTTTTGAGATTCTATTTAATTTAAGCAAAAGACAGGCACAGGCTTCACATAAGAGAAGCATATTTCACTTTATGAAATGGCTCTGAAAGTAATATATTCTTAGCTCATTTATTGGTTTACACGACATTTGGCCATGATTTACCTTATGCCTTTTCAACATTCCCAGTAAAGGATAAAAAAACTAAAAAAACTGATGCAACAATTACCTGTTTTCGTTCTGGTTACATTTATATTATACGATATTGTTTACTGATGTTTATTTTTTACATCTGAGTTTAGATTTTTTTGTGTGAATGAAAACTCCCTGGTGAAGTATTAAACGAACAGTATGAATTTTATTTAGCATTACCGAAAAATTAAGTATAAAAAGTATTAATTCTTCCTTAAACAAGTTATTCAAAAATATATACTATGATATTTAGCACGTGAACTACGATGAAAATAAAATCAGAAAGATATAGTATATAATTTTGTTTTTGCGCAGGGGTTTCCTTGAGGCATATCATTTATTTTAAGGGTTACGCAAGGGTAAAAACGTTGAGAAACATTCTTTAGACAAACAACCATAAAACAACTCTTTAAAAGATGGAAAAAAACTGTCGAATTCTTCTATTTTATTTTGTCATTCAAATATTTGAGTCTTTTTTACAGTTTATATTATATTCGTATTCTTTTATATGTCGTGTCTATTAAGAACGTGCGTGACACGGCTCTCCACGAGTTCCCATTCTCTGCAATGTTTGACGCATTACTATCCCTCCTTGTCCATATTCAGCTATAAATTTACACAAGTTAATTAGGTATGCCACGCGCTGCTTCCCTTACTTTCAATACCTCGTATGAGTGTCAGATTCTCCAAGCACATTTTCCTCGTTATGTGTTCCTGAAATTTTGGCGATTTTCTTTTGACCATCGTTTCTCAAACCGGGTTCCCTGGAACCCTGAGGATCTGCAAAAGGTCACTAAGGTTTCCGCGAGAAGAGATGAGATAAGCTAATGCACTTTTGACTTTTTATTTAATTTTTGATTTACCCTATGTCTTTTCAATATTGCCAGTAAAAGAAAAAAAAAACTGATGCAGCAATTATCTGTTTTACTTCTGTTTACATTTATATCACAGGTATATGATATGATATATCACAGGTATATGATATGATAGCTCACATGTATATGATATGATATATCACAGGTATATGATATGATAGCTCACATGTATATGATATGATATATCACAGGTATATGATATGATAGCTCACATGTATATGATATGATAGATCACAGGTATATGATATGATATGGTTACTTATGTTTATTTTTTACGTTTGAGTTTAGAATTTTTTTTTATGTGTGAATGAAAACTCCCTGATGAAGTATTATAAACAAACAGTATGAATTTTATTTAGCATTACAGAAAAATTGACAAAGAAGTATTAATTCTTCCTTAAACAAGTTATTCAAAAATATATACTATGATATTTAGCACGTGAACTACGATGAAAATAAAATGAGAAAGATTTGTTTTTGCGCAGGGGGTTCCTTGAGGCATATCATTTATTTTAAGGGTTACGCAAGGGTAAAAAGGTTGAGAAATGTTGTTCTAGATGTTGTTTTAATAGACGAAGAAAAAGTTGACAAAGAAATCGAAAACTACATTGGAATAGTGTATTAAAAACAATTACTGCTTGTCGTAGTTGTAATAGATTTTTTTAATAAGAAAGGAATTTAATACTAGTCTACCTGTGACTCGTTGGGTCACTGACGGTTTAAATTATAAAACACTGAAGTTGATTTCAACATTAAAATAATTGTCTGTTTGAAGAAAGTTGAAATAAAGTTACTCACTGTATTTTTATATCTTATTCACTTAAAATATTTTTTTAAAATCAGATTAACTTAAAAATATTTTTAATATGCCAAATATATTTTAAAATCATATTCATTTGAAAATATTTTTTAAATATTGCAAAAAATATCTTTTAAATATTTAAAATATTGTTTGTTTAAAGAAAGCGGAAATATAAATAATTACTCTACAAAAAACTGGAAGAAACAGCAAAGCGGGATTTCTTTGTGTCTGTCTTTAAGTTAAATATCTTTTAATTAAAAACATGTCTGTTTTGAGGAAGTTAAAATAAAAATACTTAGTGTAAAAACATATGGTATTTTTTAAATCTTATTCACTTCGATTAACTTAAATCATTATGCGCCGGACGGTCGCATCACGCAAACGTACGTGCAATCACAGAGAGGTGGAAAGATAGATTGGAAAGAGAGAGATGTGGAAAGAGATAGAGTGAGACGTGGAAAGAGAAAGGTGGAAAGAGAGAGAGAGAGAGAGAGAGAGAGAGAGAAGAGAGAGAGAGAGGTGGAAAGAGAGGTAGAAAGAAACTTAAATCATTATGCGCCGGACTGACGACGTACCACGCAAGCACGCAATCACAGACTTTTAAAGGGTTTTTCCAATAACTTACACCAATTTTAATTGTGAATTAAGTGTAAGCGTCTAATGATTTTTTCTCTTTTTTTTCCTATTTGGCTGACATTTGGGTGATATTATTTTTCACGCATAATTGCCATGGCTTAAATAACATCATCCAATAGAGAAATAAATAAATTTTCACCAATAACACTGATTTATTTGCTGCTGACTTTGATCCATTTGAATGAAACACCCTTATATATAATCCGTCTTAATGAAACATCCTTTAGTATTATGTATGTAGATGATGGCAGTGATAAACAAACTATCACAATCGGCTGCAGCAAGGACCGAAATTGCATCTTAAGTTTTTAGCTGGTAGTAATCATAGTTAAAAACTAACTTTAGATCTATACTTTAAATCGAGTACCTCAGTGAGGATCGAATACACTTCTCAATCGTAATTTTACTAACGATATAATAAAGAAAGAAAATAAACGTATACTGAGTTTGCTAAGAGCTTCGGTAAGTATGAATGTACTGTGTCTTACCAGATTTTTATTGTAGCATATTATTTCTACTAATCTCTTATGATATTATGGTAATGGTTCCTTATAAGAAAATATTCAGCATTCATTGACCGAAAAGTTGGTATAGTACTTTATTCTCAGTTGAAATTTATAAAAACTTTCTCTTAAAAAAATACAGGAAAATACATTTCTCATGCTTAGTCGCTCATTCCAATATTGACAGGGGTTACCTTTCTAGCCTTTTGTTTGAAGTAGTGTGGAATGTCAACATCTTGATTATATAATTATTATTTCTTGGGATTACATGAGATATCCGTTTTAGTTGCTGCTGTTGTATGATCATATGTGTGTTCAGATAAGGGAAATATATTACGTACAGGGCTGGGTATTATCCGTAGTTTACACGTGGACGTTTGGAAGATATCCTCTGGCAAGAGTTGGGAATATTGCTCGTCTATCCGAGTCCAGATATATTTAATAAGAATATTTTAAATCTTAATATTTTAAGTGACTCATATGCAGGGAGTGGTGATGGGGGGATAAAAATGTGTCGAGCAGAATTAAATTCAAAGCTTGGTTTTATGAAGATATGAATCAGAATAATTTAAGAGATATGAAATCTTTGGAGTGAATTTAATCAATGCTGGCACCTTCAGCTCAACAAGTTAACTGCGTTGACAAGGAAACAGGAGGAGTAAGTAAGAGAAGGAAAGGGAGAAGAAACTAGGAGTGAGGGGGAAAATGATCGAGAGGGAGTGAGAGAAACATAAGGAGAAATAGTTGGAGATGGAGTAGTAGTCTGAGAGAGGAAGAGAGTGTGAGAGAGAAATTAAATAGGGAGAAGCTGGGATAAAGAGTAAGGGAAAGTAGAGAGGGAGTGAAAAAGAATGAAAAAAGATAGGAAGAAAGAGAGTGGAAAAAGAATAAGAGAAGGAAAAGAAATAAGAGAGATAGGGAAATAAAGAGAGGGGCGGAACGAGAGGTAGGGGGTAATTGTTGGTTCGTAGGAAGGAATAATTCATAGCGTCCAGATTTTTTCAATTTTATCATCTGCAGACATCTCACATCAGACTCATTTTCCATAACTTGTGGAACTACTTCTCGTAAGAATAATGATAATAAAAAAACCCAAAACAAAACAGAAACCAGAAACTTGTGGGAAGAAAGCGATGTAGAACGGACTAAATTCATTTTATCATTATCATCTTATACTATAAATGTCCCCTATCATCATCTCATATTATAAATGTTCCCTATTTTCCCCTACATTACGTTTTTTTCATATAATTATAATTTTTGTATAGTCCTTATTAATTTGTACATATCAAGCTTTTACATCAGTAGTCATTGCAAGCACTCACTAGAGATCAGTTGACAGCAAGTCATCGCCATACGACAGAAATCTCCACAATATTCATGATTTTAATAAAGCTCTATTTACATTATTTGGACTATTATCCTCATTTTTGTCGCCATATTTTTTACAACGTTTTGTTTTAATAATCATCTCAGAAATATAGACAGATACTTTAGTAAGGCTGTTCGGATGATTTTAATGCTTCCTCGCATTTCCAAGTCTTCCAGTCATTTTGCAGTTGGCATCCGGACTTTTCCAAAGACTTTAATGACAATGGCTACAGTTGTCAACACGTTTTTTTTATTTCTCTAATAGGGCCGATATATTTATCTATTCTAATTTGATCTGTAGTTTCCTGAACAAGAGACATCACGTGACAGTTTCTTTATGAATTCTAGACGTTATATTCTAACCTTGAATTGAGTGATCCAATTTAACAACAGAGTTACACACAATTTTATTATTTTTTTTAATTTGTCTTGAGTTTCGGAATCATATTGAATTTTTTCTACATTAAAAGCTATTATTATTATTATTGAAATTTTATGGCGATGACCTCAAACACAGGAAATAATTTTAAGTGACTCTGTCAAGTATCAAGAGCTCAGACGGCAAGCATTTTTCGCATGATATTTGCTAAGATATTTGTTTTTAAAACGTTGTTATGCTGGATGAGATTCCGATAGTATCAAGGTTTTTTTTCTGAAGATTCTGTTGAATCGACCCAAGGGCTCCAATGACAAGTATCACAAGCTTGGCATGTACGTTACACATTCTCTCAAAATATACACTCAACTCTGGATAGTTCACAATCTTTTCAATTTATTTATCTGTAACGTAGTGATCTCCAAGGCATGGCGTATCTATTGACTCCTATGTGATCTTTTTATGATCGATGATATGTCTGGTCCGATGTGTGTTATAACTCTGAAAATTGGAATTGTGATGTCCCACAGGAGTTTCACGCGCTTAGCTTCCAGTACCCTCTCCGACTTTTGTTTTTAGCGCTTGTCCGAAGTTTGGTAGCCATACTTCTGGCATAAACATCAATGGAGATGTGAACATATCTACTCCACAATTGTTATTATTACTATGATTATTTTCTTTTCTTTAATTTCTGGTGTATTCTCATTTCTTTCTTGGTCCTAAACAGAGACCTAAGGCCAGAAATGGCATCATGGCATTTTAAACTGAGTAGTTTTGAAAAAACAAAAACCAAAAACCAAAAAAAAACCCCCAAAACCAAAAAAAAAAACCCCAAAAAACAAAAAAAACAAAAACAAAAAGAACCCCACACACATTTTACATTGATAAAGCCCTTCATAAAATGTGATCTGTACTTGTGTGTACATTTCTTTTGTATTTCTTTAAGATATGGGCTACCAGGAATCCCTTCAATGAATCTATATCCAATCAACCCGAGGGCTCCAACTACAACTGGAGATGTTGAAATCCTCATCTGTCACTATTATTATTATTATTATTATTATTATTATTATTATTATTATTACTTTTGATTTCTGGTGTATACTTATTTCTTTCCGGGTCCCAACCAGAGACATAAGTTCCTTAATGGTACTATGACATTTTCTACTGAGAATTTTTTTAAAAATAGAAAGTAAAAGAATCACACATATTTCACATACATAAAGTCCTTCGTAAGGTGTGGGATCTACTTGTGAGTACAATTTTTTTTGCATTTCTTTAAGGCATGGGCTACCAGGAATCCCTTCATTAAGTCTATTGGAATCTTTTCCAATCAATCCGAGGGCTCCAGCTACTACTGGAATTGTTGATGTCCTCATGTGCCACATTTTTGAGATTTCGATTTTAAGGTCCTTGTATTCTGATATTTGTTTTAAGATCTTCGAAGATACATTGCAGTTTACAAGCACTACTATGTCAATACGAAGGCACATTTTGTCATTGCAGTCTCTAATCACGATGTCTGTGCTATACTTATTTCACATCTATACAGGAAACGGTATAGGATCCTGGTAAAAAGTATATTTTCACGCCGCCTCTCGTGCCGTGAGAAAATAAATTGAGCATTTGTTCTTTTTAATCGACATGCTGTTCCCCTACTTTTAGAACAAGCCTTTGTTGGTTCCAAGAAGACAGGCTTTTTTTGTGATGTCTCTGTTTCCGGAATCATAGTCCAATATCTATGTAGTTTTTTTTCCATGATTTTGTACAATCCCCAAAAGCTCCAGTGTGTGAAAGAGTGTGAGAGAAAAATAATAGGTAAGATAAACGTTAACGAACGGCTGACAGAGTGGGAGTAATAGTTGGAGAAGGAGACGAAATTCGAGAGGGGGAGAGAGTGTGAGAGAGAAATGAAGAGAGAAGGGAGGTAAAAAAAATTGGGAGAAGAGAGAGAGAGAGAGAGAGAGAGAGAGAGAGAGAGAGAGAGAGGGTGTAATTACAAAGATAAACAGAAAGAGAATGTGAAAAGAATATGGAAGAGAAAGAAAGAATAGAAATAATACTATACATATTTATAGAGGAAATATAGTATACACAGGGCTCGGTACTATCCGTGGTTTCTAAATTATAACGTACATCAGACCAGACATAACATTGATGACAAAAAGATGGGGGTCTGCAACTTGATGCATCAAGCGTTAGGGATCAATTCATTGCAGGTGAATAGAATGAAAATTTGTGAAATACTAAGATTTGATGGTAGATTTTGAGAGAATATGAAATGTATTAGGTTGGTACACAAAAAAATGACGTAATAATGTCGTTTTTTGACGTATTTTTAACGTCAAAAAACGACATTAATACGTCATTGTTTTTGCACCAACCTTATACATGCCAAGTTTACATTGTCTGCCTTTCGCAAAATTTCATGCTTTAAATCATTGTAGTTGTCGAACATCACCTTTCTTTTCAATTCTCATATCAAATGGACTGGGGACGTCTATCAGATAGCAATTGTTTTTGCTTCTTGGCCCAGAACTAATATATATGGCTTATTGTTCTATAAACTTGTCACTGCCCATCCAGGAATATCGCATAAGATTTTCCCATTCCAATTCTTCAGCACTTTGTGACCACATGTTCATTACACTTGTCACTGCATTTGAACCCGTACTTTTTACACAACTTCCATTGAATAACGACAGCAAATTTATAATCCTTTCATTTTTTATACTTATCATGAGCCATACTCTTGTATTCTAATCAGTCAGTTATGTGCCATTCCTAATACACGCTTAGGCGATCATGTATCATTCGATAGATGATTGACGAGGCAGATTTTTTGCTGTCGTTATTCACTGGAAGTTATGTAAAAAGAAATGGAAACCTACTAGAACTTACTTCTTATTAATGGAATACAAAAAGAATGATGATGATTCATCCTTGTGTACGCAAGATGGCGGGTCCCAGTTGCAAAAGTTAAGGTTGGTCGAACTAAGAAATGTGATTCGTCAAGATACAGGCCGTGGAAATAACAAAAGAGTAGCGAGAGTCTTGCTACGTTTCATTTGTGGGAAACGGGTGGTAGGGTGGAAAAAAATTCAGAAGAGAGTTCCACAAGCGAGGAGTGCGATAGCAGAAATTTAAAATTTAATAAATATGCGATAACAAAAACTGTTAGCGTAAAACTTAGGTTTACATCTAGCCATTTTAACTGCAAAATAATGAGACCTATTTCTTTTTTAAATGCCATACGGGATACACGCTTGTGATCATGTATCTTTCGATACATGACTGATAAGGCAGATTTTTTCCCGCAGTAGGTTGCCATTTCTCTCTGTGGTACTACGTTGCAAGCAAGGCTATAGAAACACGGTCTGTCCTGCTATTAACATATTTATATATCTGGGGGGGGGGAGAAGAGGAGGATTCGTACCTTTCGCAAGTGTTTTAGCACGTAAGTGAATGTAATGGATTCGACTGGAATTTGAATTCGGCTATTCATTATTCCACCATGACTCACAGTTCCATACGCATTTTACTTAAGGCTGAAGTACTGATCTTATCATCATTTAAGTTTACTCAGTTTGTACGCAATGTATAATTTGAGCTGTCATTAATTAGTTTATTATTATTATTATTATTATTATTATTATTATTATTATTTCTTTTGTTATCTGTTGTATACACATTTCCTTCCGGGTCCCCAAAAAGTTACCTAATATCAGTAGTGGCTTCATTATATTTTCCACTGATCATTTTTGTAAAAAACAAAACTAAGATCACGCACATTTTACATGGATAAAGTTCTTTGTAACGTGTGTGCTGTACTTCTGAATACCATTTATTTGTATTTCTTTATGTATGGTCTCCCAGGAATCTCTTCAATGAGACTATCGGAAACCTTTCAAATCAATCAGATGGCTCCAACTACAACTGGAATTATTGATGTCCTCATGTGCCACATTTTTTAGATTTCTACTTCAAGGTTCTTGTATTTTGATTGTTTTTTTTTTTTTGAAGAACTTCAAAGTTACATTACAATCTGCAGTGACTACCATATCAATAAGAAAGCAGATTCTGTTTTTGTTGTATTTTTTCACGATGTCTGGACGATTAGCTTTGATTGTTTTGTCTGTGTTTATTGTAAAAACCGATAAGGTTGTCACAGGTCCTATCTCTGTAACCGGGTAATTTCTTGCAGTTTCCTTCACATAAAAGTTTCATATTTTCTAGTGC